TAAGACTTGTGTGCTTCAAATGCTAGAGGACCTGGGCCAAAATGACTGCTGGAGGAATTCTGGGAGTTGAAGTCCACAAGTCTTAAAGCTGTCAAGTTACAAGACCCTTGCACCCCTAACCCTTTACAAAAAAAAAACCAAGGGTGTTCAAACTTGACAGCTTTAAGACTTGTGGACTTCAACTCCCAATATTCTTCCTCTTGCTCTTCATCTTGATGCCGTGCGGATGGGTGGGGGGAGGGAGCTGGAACCGGTTATAAACAGCATGTAGATTTGTGGAACCTCTTCTATAGAAGAGGTTAGAACTGGCAGGAACCCACCCCTACCTTCCAGGTACATTCATCTCAGACCCAGCACCCCTCATGCACTCACACCGCCAGAACAAATTCACACAGCCCAGATCTCAACTGATGAAATAAAACAGAGGCTGTATTACAATTGATCTTAGCTTGCTGTCCAGTTTCACTAGAATCAGCCCTGCGGCTGCCTTTTGCTACCTAGCAATTTCAGCTTCGCCTGGTTTTCCTTCAGTCTTGAAGGAGGAAAACATATAAGCCCTTCGCCCTCCAAAGAAAACCAAAGGACAAAATGAAAGCAGCTCTCTTCTTTAGGAAAAACCCACCTGAGAAGTGAAACCCAGCCTCCTGATGGGCTCTGTGTGTTTTTGGATTGCTCCCGGTTCAATTGTTTTCATCAGCTACCTGGATGAACAGTTCACGCTAATCTTCTTTTCACCTTTCCGAGGTCTGAATCTCTTGAAAAGGAGATTTCCCCACCTTGAATGAATCCTTCTGTCTTCTGAGATGGGGAACCCAGTCCTGAATAGATTGCCACTTGAGGATTGTCACCAGGCTAAGTAAAATTAGGCTGTACATTGTTTGAATTTATTTATTTTATTCGTTAAATATATATGCCACACATCTCATTATCCCAGAAAATTATCTCCTCCATTTCAAAGTTTGTTGCAGAAAAATCAAATCCAGAAAGCACACACAGATAACTGATTCAGCTGGATTCATTAACTTCTTTATATACATAACTGATGAATAACTGTACAATACCAATAGTAGATTTTTTTTTTCAATGAGGTAGAAGTTACAAGCAGAACACAAGCAGGAGAGAGCAGTTAGTTTCATCTCAGAGGTCGGAGCAGACAAGAGTAGTTTCAGTTTCAATTCTCAGCACAGAGAATCAAATCTGTTTTAGCTCCCGACTTAGTTGCTATACCTATTCATTGGCTGACCTTGTTACCATGTGTCTCCCAGTCATGAATATTCTAACACGCCATCCCAGTGTTTTCACTGAAAAAGACCTATTCTTCGTAATTATGTAATGAGCTTCCAATAATTGCCCAGTGTACTTCTGATATGGAAAGCATTTGGGCATTGGAGCCGAGGTGGCGCAGTGGTTAGGGTGCAGTACTGCAACCACTTCAGCTGACTGCTATCTGCAGTTCGGCGGTTCAA